AAAAAAAAAAAAAAAAAAAAAAAAAAAAAAAAGTTCCTAATCTTCTTTAGAATTGTAAACCCATGACTTAGAAACCCTTAGTATCATGGAAGTTACAACTCTGACTTCTGGTTGGCAGTTTTATCTTACTGTATATATTACACATTCCGGATATTTACAAAATCCTCAAACAAATTTAAAATTTAATAACTTTGTAAGTATATCTAATAGGAGTGAATGATAAACACCAAATGACAGCGTAATTCCTAGAGTTTTACACATAATAGAGTTCAGATACCTAGGTTTGCCATACATCTGGGTTACTGATAAAATTTTATTAATTACACTTATGATAATAATAAATTTAATTGAAAAAGATAGTTTTCAGGAGTGAACTGTTATACTATTATAGTACATGATTAGCATTACCCTAGTCTATAGCATATAGATGCTTTAGAGTGTATTGTATATCGAATGAAATAAAAGAGTGTTGACAAGTCCAGTCACAGTAGTACATACTGGTAGATGCCACTAATCTGCAGGCCGAAGCCACATGGGAAATATGGGTCCAATTTCTGGCCCACCCTAAAAGCTGAGTGTCTCCCAGTAGTCCTACCTACTTGGGAGACTGAGGCAGATATCCTAACATATCGAGATCTTGTCTTTAAAAAACAAACATCAACAACAACAAACAATTTTGATTAGTGATATTAAAAACTCTGAGCTGTTCCATCTTATGATAATTTTAATTTTTTCTAAAATGTGAACTCCAAATGTTTAGAATGCTCTTAAGTACAAAGACTTCATAAATTTATTAGTTAAATACATGCAGGACTTTTGTTGAAAATTAAGCAAAACATGTCAATCTCTTCTCTCTTTTTTTGTTAGGAAAAGTGAGTACTTGTGACACAGAGCATAATAGTCAATTTTCTCTCTTTTGTTCCATAAGGGATAATGTAATATTTTGTCTAGCTCTTTAAACCTATTACAAATCAATGGGCATAGCCTCTAGACCTTATTTTGGCCTGATGATCATTCTAATACCTATTTCTGATTCCCAGAGCACCTTGTCAAGTCAGACAACTTACCTGGCTGAGCAAGGGTCTTATCCACAACCGTTAGGTCAGATTACAAGGAACTGTGGCCCAAGCATATTTGATTGGCCAGTTTACTCTAGATCAAAAGGTTTAGTTTTTGCAAAATGAAGTTTGTATGCATCTATATGTATTTTTGGCTAAGAAATGTCCAAGTCCTCTATCATCCTGATGCCATTCAGTGCAATCAGACCTACATGGAGACTCCTGTGCAGAGTCCACATGCTGCTGCCTGGACTGACTTCCCTGGCTGGCCAGCCTCCCTGACATAATGCCTTTACCTTCCATAAAAGACACTAGGTCACCACTGACGTTTCCCAGGAATTCCTAGACACAGTAGGTTCCTAAACACTTAAATAATTTTTTTGTTTTCTTACAGATGAAACTAATCTTAGGTGGGTTTTCAGTTCAGGAACTGGGCCCGCTTGTTCTTTCCTCCCCCTTTGCAACATCTTTCTGGTGTGACATTTGCATTCAGTGAGTAGTTGCTCCGTATGACCCTGTCACATGGGCCCCACTTCCTCTCCAGGAATGTATGAATCGCTGCTGCAATGCCTCCACCTGTACCCTGAAGCCAGATGCTGTGTGCGCACACGGGCTGTGCTGTGAAGACTGTCAGGTGAGTTCCCCAGAGCTGCACTTGACACTAAGATCACCAACAGGTTGAGGTGTTTCAAGTCTGATGCAGGGCAAGCAATATGGCAGGATGATTTTTCCGGCACTCACACTATGGAAACTATTACTCGTCTCTACACAAGTTGGTATTGGGTCATTAGGAAAGTGTGGCACATTTTTGCATTAAAAAAAAAGGAAAAATACATCACAACTTTCCAGATGACCTTATATTATCCACCTCTTATTTTTTATCTCCCAACCTTCAGGTGAAATCGCTAGTCATCTATAATTTTTTATGCACTGAAAACTAATTAGACAAAAAACTCTAGTTCAACATTAAATGTTCTATTTATGCTATCAGAGGCACATGTGGTCCTATTAAGATAACAAGAATGATGTGAGAACAAGTCCCCACCTACTGTCACTCAGCCTCATGCTGGGTCCATCTGCTTGATCCCAAGAACATCCGCCTGCTGGCTTGGCCAGTTGTTCCAGGGGTTTTGTGTAAACATCTTGATCTTAATGTCTTCCCAACAGAAGGTGCTGGCTGACCCAGCCCAGCCCAAAGTGGCAGTTTTATACTTTCGCCCTCCCTGCTGTCTTGACTGCATTTGTTTTGACAGTTTGGGTTTGGCAATAACAACTTCAGAGCTGATATCTGACAGAGTAGAAGTCTGAGCTTTTGATTCAGAGATTCCAAGAGTAGAGTTTTATTTCCTTTTAATTAAGCAATTGATCTTGCCATTCTGCTTACAGGAAACTCCTTCTTAGCTGACCCACTCCAGCGTGGTGATTTAGAAGTACATTATAACATTTTATGTTCAGCTTTAAAATATCCTTCATCCACTTCCTAATGGTGATTAACTTATGGGGAGTGCTATGAGAAGCTGGCACTTCCTGACACCCAGTAACTGGCAACAGAGGGTACCTGGAAAAGAGAAGAGGGGTAGGGAAA